TGTCCCTGCCATGGGGTTGGGGCTGGATCTTCTTTAGGATCCCCCTAAAAATTCCCTAAAATAACCCCAAAAATTCCATGATTTTGAATTGTTCCAATTTGGATTTTGAGGCAAAGCAGCCGAGCTCAGCATCAGCACGGAGGGAAAACATTCCAACATTCCCTGAGGGATTCCAAAGCCTTGGAGCCCAGAATTCCTCAAATCCCCGATATTCCAGGCTGATGGCATTCCCTCAGCCTCATTCCCAGCTTTTATTCCAAGCTCAAGATCCACTTAAACTCAATTTGGGAAGGAATTCCTGCTTAGGATGGAATTCCCACCCCTGGAATTGCCCAAAACCAACTTGGATCACCTGGAATATTGGGAGGTGTCCCTGCCATGGGGTTGGGGCTGGATCTTCTTTAGGATCCCCCTAAAAATTCCCTAAAATAACCCCAAAAATTCCATGATTTTCAGTTGTTCCAGTTTGGATTTTGAGGCAAAGCAGACGAGCTCAGCATCAGCACGGAGGGAAAATATTCCAACATTCCCTGAGGGATTCCAAAGCCTTGGAGCTCCACATAGAGCCCAGAATTCCTCAAATCCCTGATATTCCCTCGGCCTCATTCCCAGCTTTTATTCCAAGCTCAAGATCCACTTAAATGCAATTTGGGAAGGAATTCCTGGCTGGGATGGAATTCCCACCCCTGGAATTGCCCAAAACCAACTTGGATCACCTGGGACAGTGGGAGGTGTCCCTGCCATGGGGTCAGAACTGGATGTTCTTTAGGATCCCATCCAACCCCAAAAATTCCATGATTTTCCGTTGTTCCAGTTGGGATTTTGAGGCAAATCAGCCGAGCTCAGCATCGGCACGGAGGGAAAACATTCCAACATTCCCTGAGGGATTCCAAAGCCTTGGAGCTCCAAATAGAGCCCAGAATTCCTCAAATCCCCGATATTCCCTCAGCCTCATTCCCAGCTTTTATTCCAAGCTCAAGGTCCATTTTAACACAATTTGGGAATTGGGAATTCCTGGCTGGGCTGGAATTCCCAGAGAAGCCGTGGCTGCCCCTGGATCCATGGAATGACCAAAGCCAGGAGCAGCCTGGGATGGTGGGAATTGGCCTTGGAATGGGATGGGATCATCCTAAAGGTCCCTTCCCACCCAAACCATTCCTTGTTTTCTCCCCATGGAAAATGGCTCTGGAGCAGCTCCTACAGTCAGACCTGGATTGGGATTTGGGTTGAGATAATTCCATGTTGGATTTGGGATCTTTTAGTATCCATTGGCTTTTCTGGGAATGTTCCCACTCCTTCCAGTTGTTCTCTCAGCTCTGCCTTTCCTTCTCCAGCTGGGAAGGAATTTGGGAAGGAATTTTCCCTGTGGGAATGGGGAGGGGCTGGGCTGGAATTCCCAGAGAATCCGTGGCTGCCCCCAAATCCCTGGAAGTGCCCAAGGCCAGGAGCAGCCTTGGAATGATCCTAAAGGTCCCTTCCCACCCAAACCATTCCGTGTTTTCTCCTCATGGAAGATTACTCTGGAGCAGCTCCTACAGTCAGACCTGGATTGGGATTATTCCATGTTGGATTTGGGATCCTTTAGGATCCATTGGCTTTTCTGGGAACGTTCCCACTCCTTCCAGCTCCCTTCCCTCAGCTCTGCCTTTCCTTCTCCAGCTGGGAAGGAATTTGGGAAGGAATTTTCCCTGTGGGAATGGTGAGGGGCTGGGCTGGAATTCCCAGAGCCGCCGTGGCTGCCCCGGAATCCATGGAATGCCCAAGGCCAGGAGCAGCCTTGGAATGATCCTAAAGGTCCCTTCCCACCCAAACCATTCCATGTTTTCTCCCTATGGAAAATGGCTCTGGATGAAGCAGCTCCTACAGTCAGACCTGGATTGGGATTTGAGTTGGGATTATTCCATGCTGGATTTGGGAACCTTTAGGATCTTTTCTGGGAATGTTCCC